GGGGTGGAAAATGAGAAGGGGTGGGAGGGTTTTGAATACAATTCACCTAGGCAAGCAAGGGAGAGACAAAGCTAGAACAAACTTCTTTTGTATGCAAAGACTAGGATTGTTCTCTCGAATTCCCATAGCTTCGCTAGGTGTAAAAGACGGGTTCTGATTCCATTCGAAAGACTCGATGGAATACGAAAGATAACTTTGAAAGCACTATTTTTGTCCACTTGGTGACCACTATCAATCAAACGAGCCAAAATAGAACTTCATATGGATTTTATTTGACCTTTTCTATCTAATTTACTCGACAAGAGTGGAAACAAAAATAGAAAAAAATAATATATTAACATTATCATTATCACATAGGACGCGAGCCAAATCATATGTCGTTGAGTTTCTTACTTGGTTGTAGGGGTGAATATATTATTATTATTTATTATTATCCCTTGGGTTCCGAGTGGAACATCATAGGGCTTCAACAACACATCTCCACTTCGTCCTATCTTCTGCCATTCTCTTCATATGGGTCCATGATTGCCCATATTCTCTCGTCTCCTCCTCCAACTCACACGATCTCCTTCATGTCACTCTCGCACTGAAGACCCACTCGTTACTTCCCATTGGGATTTCACTCGAGCAATGGCCTGCATTTAGCGCTATGTCATTCAACGGCTTCTTCAACGTATATGCGCTCAATCCATCTTTATTTTCTCCTACATATTTGTTGAGCAGTTGGTTCATGGTATTTTGTGAGTTTGTTTGAATCATAGTATTGGATTCCGATTCTTCAAAGCAAGAATCGGAAAAGCAAGACAAGCTTTCACTACTCTCACCAAGTCTGTGTGGAGGTCAACAGCACTCAGCATCAAAAATAACATCCGGATTTTCAACTCCAATGTGAAGTCAGTCAGTGCTACTTATACGGATCAGAGACTTGGCGCGTCATGAAGAGCAATTCGAACAAACTACAGGCCTTCATTAACAGTTGTCTTCGCTCAATACTGAAGATCAGATGGCCGGCCAGAAGAGGGAACCAACCAGGAACCGATTGTGAAACAAATAGGCAGGAAGAAATGGAGATGGATTGGCCATACTCTGAGGAAACAATGCATCAAGTGACATCACTAGACAAGCCATTGCTCGAGTGGAACCCGACTAAATGGGAAGCGGCGAGTTGGTCGTCAGTGCAAGGGTGACTTGGAGGAGGAGTCATGTGAAGAGGAGATGAAAGCGTGTGGACAGACTTGGACCCAGGTGAAGACTCTAGCAGAGAACCGAACGCAATGGAGACGCACGGCTGAAGCCCTATGTTCCTCTAGGAATTAAAGGAAACAATAATAATAATAATGGTTCATGGTTGGTTTGTCGCCAGCAACAAAAATCTTATAATAAGAGTTTGCTTTATTCCAAAGCAGTACTTTTGAGATACAACGTGGAATTATCAGCACCAACTATAATAGCAAAAACAAAAATAGAAGAAAACAATAATATTACAGGATTGATAATAGCAGCTAAACATTATCGCTACCACATAGGACTCCAGACAAATCGCGCATGGTTGAGTTTCTGTACTTGGTTGTACCAGATGAGATGTAAGACGGGGAGAGTTGTGAATAGAGAGGGTATTTGTGGGAGTCAGACAATATATAGATTTAGACCATTTCTCACATGAGTTTAGGTGTCTATCGACTGAAGTAGTAACGAGCTGCCTAAGTGGCATGAAAACAACCCTTACGAACAGTCTTTAGTAACCTTCGCAATATGACAGTCCTTTTTGACTAGCCCATGAGAGACTAAGTGGTGATGGGAGGGGGCAGTAAAGAACCAAAGGTGAGATGCAAGAGTTAACACATTCTAAAGTATAGGTCAAATGATCCCTTAATGTCGAACGTTAGGCGAAATAATTTCTTAGAAAACGATAAGATATGGGATGACCAATAAAGGCCAGAGGATAGAACTATTCCAGGGTATTTTATGCTTGACTTAATTTCTGTTTTATAGTCCTCCATACTACAAGCATCGTGTGAACAATCCAGTCCTTGTAGATCAAGTTTATGCCATTAAGTCTGACATTTAGAAAGATTTAAGGTGAGATCATTTAGCTTAGACCACTAGCTGATATCTCACAAAAAGCTATTCAGTTTGGAAGAGTCAGATCGGGACGTAAATGGCAGCAAGACAGTGAGATCAACAAAGTATTTGGAGAAGTTGATTTCATCCAAAAGAGGTAAGTCAGGTAAGAAGAAAGAAAAAAGGAAAAGGAGAGATAATAGCACCCTGGGGGACACCGGCTTCAGTAGGCAGCAAGGCAGTATACTGCATTCTGTTAGAGAAATAAGAGTGCAACCAGTTAACTAAAGAATGCATGTGAAAGAGAACAGTGTGCTTAATATAAATTGTAGCTAGAATTACCAGAACAGAATTATACAACTTCTATCAGATTTTAAAAGCATTTTTCAAAGAGGTTATGCGTTTCGTCCTGTCTGGGCCTTGTCTTCCAAATGCAACTGTATCCCCTTCAGTCTGGACGCCGAATAGCTCAGTGGCAACGTCTCTGACAGCAGCACTTGGTGGCCAGGGTTTGAATTTCATAAGGGATATGAATCCCCTCTAGACTGTAGAAATGTCGTACTGACTAGTGAGTGCCAGCAAGCACAAAACCTAGGTTCAAGGTTTCCTGCACCGTGATGACGAGCCACCTAGCCTGGTTATTACACCTCAAAGTTGACTGAAAGAAGTCATTTTGTACCAAACGAAGCACAAGATACATGACATTAGTTAGTGCCGTGTATACAATAAAAAAGGTTTTTTACATATTGAATGGTGTTGGTGTCACAGTGGTAGAATGCTCGCCAACCACGCCTCATGTGGTTCGGGGTTTGGTCCCCGGCCGACGCACTCCTTTATCTCGCTAAGCCAGTAGTAAGACTGGTAAAGAGGGAGGGTTGTGCGTGAGGCTAGCAACCCCATCCAGTAGAAGTATTAAACACCACTGCTACCGAAACTTCAAAGCCCACGAAGCTTGAAGCTTTATGCTCTACTGGAAGCGTAAAGGAATTAATAATAAATAATGATAATAACATATTGAATAGCACTCACTCTTAGATGATAGGTCTAAAGCAAAGCGAAGCATAGCTATTTTGTTCAGTGTGAAAGTTCCAAAATCTTTTATGAAGTTATTTACATACATGGGTTAGCTTTCTGAATTCAGTAGGCTCAATGTCTTGCTTGGCTTGGATTTAGTTATTTTAAGCGACCGTTAATCAAAGCGTTTATTTAACCTCTCTAAGAATAGAACTTATCCGACTTAGTTACAAAGCCAAAGACATGTAAGTTAGATTATTGAAGTTACCTTTTATGTCATCTAATTATTATTATTATTATTGTATCCTTTAATTCTTAGAGGAATATAGGGCTTCAGCCGTGCGTCTCCATTGCGTTCGGTTCTCTGCTAGAGTCTTCACCTGGCTCCAAGTCTGCCCACACGTTTTCATCTCCTCTTCACATGACCTCCTCCAAGTCACCCTTGCACTGACGACCAACTCGCCGCTTCCCATTCGGGTTCCACTCGAGCAATGGCTTGTCTAGTGATGTCACTTGATGCATTGTTTCCTCAGAGTATGGCCAACCCATCTCCATTTCTCCCTGCCTATTTGTTTCACAATCGGTTCCTGGTTGGTTCGCTCATTGCCAGAGATCTCTGTTGCTGATCTTTTCTGGCCGGCCATCTGATCTTGAGTATTGAGCGAATACATGTGTTAATGAAGGTTTGTAGTTTGCTTGAGGTGTTCCTTATGACGCGCAGTGCAAATCTCTGATCCGTATAGTAGCACTGACTGACTTCACATTGGAGTTGAAAATCCGGATCTTATTTTTGACGCTGAATGCTGTTGACCTCCACACAGACTTGGTGAGAGTAGTGAAAGCTTGTCTTGCTTTTCCGATTCTTGCTTTGATATCCTCATCAGTTTTGTCCACCTGTAGTTGAAACGATGCTTCCTAGGTAGGTAAATGAGGTTGTTTCTTTCAGGTTCCTTCCATTTATGCTGATCGTTGTCTGTTAGTGTTCTTCTTGTCCGGGAATCTTCATCACCTCTGTTTTCTCTATGTTCACCTGAAGTCCTATCTTTTATGCTTCTTCTACCAACTTGTTGCTTTTCGCTTGCATATCTTCCAGTTTGTGGGAAATCAGACATATATCATCGGCGAAGTCCAGATCATCTAAGACTTGGATTTATATCTGGAAAGTGGCGACAAACAACAAAGGGAAGTTGTCTCAAAGTAACCATTTACGAATTTAGACAAATACAACAGATTGAGCGAAGAAATATTCAGTCCTTTTCAATTAGTTTCCTCATCATCGGCTGGCTGCTCTACACTAATATATATAAGCTTTCACTACGCCCAAGTTTGTGTGGAGGTCGACAGCACTCAGCTTGAAAAATAAGATTCGGATTTTCAAGTCCAATGTCGATCGGAGACTTGGCCCGTCATGAAGTCAACTTCGAACAAACTACAGACCTTCATCAACAGATGTCTTCGCTCAATACTCAAAATCAGATGGCCAGCCAGAAAAGATCAGCAGTAGTCAGGGATCTCTGGAAGAGAACTAACCCAGCAGGAAGCGATTGTGTAACAAATATGCAGGAAGAAATGAAGTTAGTTGGATTGGCCATGCTCTGAGAAAATAAACCATCAAGTGAGTGACATCCGTCACACGCAGTGCAGGCCATAGCTCGAGTGGAATCCGAATGGGAAGCGGTGAGTTAGTTGGTCGTCAGTGCGAGGGTGACATGGAGGAGGAAGTTATGCGAAGAGGAGATGAAAGCAGGTGGGCAGACGTGGAGCCAGGCGATGGAGACGTGAGTCTGAAGCCCTATGTTCCTCAAGGAACTAAAGGAAACAATAATATAATAATAATTTTGTAATGCATTACATAATATTTCGATGATTACCTAATTCAATCCTCCCATTGACTTCAATATTATTTCAATTTTTTTCCATTTTAGGCTCTTGTAAAAATTACACAAAAAATTCAGCTGAATTTAGGCCCTTTACCAAATTCTGGTAGTTGGTTTCAATTCAGTCGACCACAGGATTGTCTACTTGTTGTTCCAGTTGGACCAGAATTAGAAAATTTAAGATCGTAAGTGACTGTTTACTTGGTTATTTAGTAAGATTTGATAAACTTCATGAAAGCATTGGTATCTTTCGTGGTTCTTGTGATATAAACAATAATATACCTGTGGTGAGAGCTGTCTACTAGCCAAGTGGTGGACAGTAATTGAGGTCAATGTTTATGTATCAAATATTAGTCATGTTGTGGTGAGAGATGGTTGCTGGCCAAATTGGTTGACAGTAATTGAGGTCAAAGGTCAAGGTGGACAGGCGGTTACAGTTAACATATAGATGAACTGACACGGCCACAAGAGATGCAAGGTTAACTTTGTGTGAGAAACAACCAATCAACAGACTGTATTTTCTACTAACATTGACCTACAATAATGTACATAAAAATCTATAAATACGTGTTGATTTTTCGTAATAAACGATCTGTTGCCTGGCCCTTGTCTTCTGTTGTTACATTTGGTGTCGCTGCCTACCGACAAATGGAAAGCCTATGCCCTGCAGTTTTTGATGGAGACATATGGATCTTCGGGCAGGACTTCGAGGCTACTTCGCAGTCGAGTGGCGTTCAAGATCTGTCAGCGATGAGGCTGCTACTTGGGACGCTGCTGGGAGGTCGGGAGAAAGCAGCATATGGAAGTGTGAGGCGAAATACCTACGAATGTGCGACAGGGTCAGGCAAACAGTTTCCAAAGTGGGAAGGACCATATATGGTCACGTTGAGATGGGGTCTCGCAGACACAATCGCAATGGTAAACACCGCTAAACAAGTGGACATCCGCAAGCGCCGAGATTCCAGACAGCAAGACAACAGAGCAAAGCCCCAAGAACCGAGAAGACCGAGCCGACTTCAGTCCAAACTATTTGACGGGGGGGACGAGTGTGGTGAGAGCTGTCTACTAGCCAAGTGGTGGACAGTAATTGAGGTCAATGTTTATGTATCAAATATTAGTCATGTTGTGGTGAGAGATGGTTGCTGGCCAAATTGGTTGACAGTAATTGAGGTCAAAGGTCAAGGTGGACAGGCGGTTACAGTTAACATATAGATGAACTGACAAGGCCACAAGAGATGCAAGGTTAACTTTGTGTGAGAAACAACCAATCAACAGACTGTATTTTCTACTAACATTGACCTACAATAATGTACATAAAAATCTATAAATACGTGTTGATTTTTCGTAATAAACGATCTGTTGCCTGGCCCTTGTCTTCTGTTGTTACATACCCAGTGTAAATAAGTTCAAGCGACCTAATTACTGTTTATTTTCACAATACTATGAGGAGCGAGACGACACGAATATGTTGGACTGATAAGAAGACTCTTGAAGATCTGCATTTCGCTCATGGAAGCATTTATATCTCATGCCATACAAACTCGAAGACATACAGGCGAAAATCAACAAGTTGGAAGAAGAAACAGGCAGAGAAGACAGGACTTCAAGTGAGTTAGAGAAGATGGAGGTGATGAAGGTAACCAAACGAAAACAACCAGCACAAATCCCTATCAACGGAACAAATTTGAAAGACAAGCTAACTTCCTTCAGTTATCTACTGAACACCTTGAGCAACAATCTTCGTATGTTTGGCATGCGATTCGCCATTGTAAAATGTAAGATGATGCTGCAGGATTAGACTAAACCGACCCCTAGATTAGAAATAGGAAGTGCAGTGGTGGAGCACGTTGACCACTTCACTTACTTGGGAAGTACCATCAGCCCCAACGGGTTGATCTCTGATGGAATCTCAGCACGAATACAGAGGGCTAGTTTCGCATATGCCAGTTTACGCCGTCTCTGGCTAGTAGACGTGATATCCGACCAGCTTTCGACCAAAAGGCGTGTGTACTGCTCAACAGTCCGCTCCGTCCTCCTTTATGGCTGTGAGACCTGGCCATTGAGAGTGGAAGACATGAAAAGATTATCTGTGTTCGATCATAGGTGTCTGCGTTCTATCTCGCGAGTGAAGTGGTATAATAAGGTGAACAATATTGAGGTTAGGCATCGAGTGCTAGGTAAGGAGGGGGGAAATCAATCGACGAAACTGTGAAATTACATCGGCTGAGATGGTTAGGACATGTATTACGTATGCCTAGTCATCGCCTTCCTCGACAACGGGCAATGTTAGCTGATATAGGGCCAGGCTAGAAAAGAGCTAGCGGCGGTCAAATGAAAACATGGCACCAGTCAGTGAAATCCACAACAGTCAGTCTAAGCCACGTAGGAAGGTGTAGACTTCCTGACTGGTTGGGGTCCTCGGGACGGTAAAAACCAATGGTTGGAAACAATTGGAGACATGGCTCAAAATCGTTATCAATGGCGCAGATGCAACCACTCCTTGTGACTTATGATTTCCAATTAAACTGTTTTGTTCTTCGTTATTACTAATCCTTTGTCTCACACCTCTGTTTACTGTCTATATTATGCATTTCTCCTACTTTCTTCTCTTGCTTTGCATGCTACATGGAGTGTGGTGACTTGAACTGCCGCACATATATGCAAAGTTCTATTTCGAAAACAAAAGAATAAATCTAGGAAGCATGGTTTCAACTACAGTTGGAGGAACAGATTTTTTTTATTCCTTCACGTTCCCAGTGGAACATAGGGCTTCAAGCTAGAGGCTTGAAGTTTCTGTAGCAGTGTTTATTTCTACAGGGTGAGGTTGCTAGCCTCATGCCCAACCTCTCCTCTTCACCAGCGTTTCAGTTCTGGCTTAGCGAGATTAAGGAGTGCGCCGGCCGGGGATCGAACCCCGGACCATATGCATGGTCGGCGAGCGTCCTAACCGCTATGCAACCAACGCACAGATGATGAAGATGTCAAAACCAGCCAGAATCTGAAAGGCCAGATACACCTTTATCACTCTGAAACCAGTTTGGAATTCTTCTACACTCCTCGGCGTAAAGAACAAGAATCGGATTTTCAACAGTGTCAAGTCAGTTCTTTTATGTGGGTCAGAAAAATGCCGAATGCGTCAAGAAAAGCATTACCAACAGCCGGCTGCAGACTTTTATCAATAGCTGCCATATTTGTTGGTTCCATACTGAAGGTCAGATGGCCAGCTGGTTAGAAAGAATTAGCAACAAGAAACTCTGCAGTCGAATAAACCAACCAATCTGACCATTCTGTATATTTCCAGTCCTATTTTAACTGAAGTTACCATTTTAGATCACGTGACTTCCATATCAGACTCAACCTTAACAGGTAAGGAATAGCCTTTCTGACAGTTGCACTGAATAGAGTAGATTGTGACGTTTAAGGGAGTGTCAGTTCCCTCTAAGTCACACAACTATAGGACTTCTATCAGCTGTCTTCAGCCGACTGAGATTATTTAGCCGAGCGAACAATTATACCTAATGGTAGACGGGATTATTTTGTAACCTGAATATTTTGGAAGTAGGCCATGGTAGGGTAATGGGTGGGTACGGCTAACGAGTTCAAAGTCAAAACGAAACAGCCATCCAGTATTCTCTGCTTTTCAGTGGTTATCTAAACATATATCATTTCGTGATGATACTGAACTATATATTCTTTACTAATATTATGTTTATCAACTTTTGATGAGTACAATGCGAGTACTAAGTATGAGTGGTTCTTAGTTAGTTTTAATGAACAGAATTCTGGATAGCTATTAACGATTCAGACAAGTTAAGATTATGATTTGACACTACCAACTAGTGTGATATTTCTAGTCCTTTCTCTGGTGCAGACTGAATTCTATCAGTCAGTCAGGTTTGCAATGTGGCCACCATTCTAGGTAGCTCGCCATCACGGTGCACATTGATTTGATGATATTAGATGGTTGAAGGCAATCGGCAGGAAGCCTTCGACCTAGGTTTCGTGCTAGTTGGCACTCACCAGTCAGCAAGGCGTATCTACAACCAGCTTGAAGGAACTCATGTTCCTTCTGACGAGATACCTAGAATGGTGGCCACATTGCAAACCTGACTGATAGAATTCAGTCTGCAACAAAGAAAGGACTAGACACATCACACTAGTTACTAGTGTCCAATCAAAATATCCACTACAGTCCTACAGGAAGGAGGTCAATCGCAAGCCCGAATAGCTCAGTGGTAACGTCTCTGATTGCAGCAGTCACTGGGTGACGCGGGTTAGAATCTCAGAAGGAGGGACATGAGTTCCTTCAAGCTGGTTGCAGATGCGCCTTGCTGACTGGTGCGTGCCAACTAGCACGAAACCTAGGTCGAAGGCTTCCTCCGAATGCCTCCAACTATCTAATATCATCAAGTCAAGACTATATCACGACACATACTACTGATTGATACGAGTAGTTAATGCAGTGTTCACTCATTGCCTACCGTGGAGTTTGCCAGCTAGATCAAAGTGATCCAACGACTTGACAGCTGTTTCCCTCATTTGAGGTTATTCTGACCAGTGATGTCTAAGATTTCCCATGTAGCTGATCAGATCTGGAGTGGTTCGGACTGATTTTTCTCTGTGAGTTGAGAAAAATTTCTGTTTGGTGCTTGGAAAACTTTCGTATCGGTTGGTAATCACTACTAGTTGGTATCAGTCATCTTCATTTGCTCATATCAAACCACACAACATGTAACCTGTTTTTCACACCGTTACAATTATAGTGATAAGAAGATCACATATTGTGTATGATCTGAATATATTAGGTTTCTAAAGAAAGCTGTCATGAAAACGATAATCCCAAAGACTGTTTCTCAGCACTTGGAAACTTCAATGTAGATTTCGTCAAGGAGCAGTGCCAGTTGGGAATCACTGGAAACCACAAGTCATGTGGTAACTGTTTCCCTCTTATTTGCGACTCTTCAGCAGTGAGAATTCACTGAGAAATTAAGGACCTTTAGATGATGAGATCAAGTTCGCTGACCACGTGGCCGATTACGGACTGACTGACTGACTGGTTTCAACATAGAACTTTGCACCGATGTGCAGCAGTTCGAGTCGCCACACTTCACTCAGCACACAAAGTATGAGGAGAAAGTAAAATGAGATTCGGAATAGAGATAATAAACAGAAATTTGAGGAAAAAAGAATAGTAATATCGAAGAAGAATATAGTTTTATTGGTTATTATAAGTCATAAGGAGTGGATGCATCTGTGCCAGCCATTGAGAAAGATTTTGAACCATATTACCAATTGTCTCCAGCCTTCATTGGTTTTCACCGTCCCGAGGACCCCAACCAGACAGCAGTCTACACCTTCCTACATGGCTTAAACTAACTGTTGTGGATTTGATTGACTGATGAAGCCATGATTAACCACCACGTACTAGATCTTTTCCAACCTGACCCTATGTCAGCTAACATTGCCCGTCGAGCAAGGTGATGACTAGGCATACGTAACACATGTCCTAACCATCTCAGTCGATGTAGCTTCACAGCCTCGTCGATTGATTTCCCCACCTTGCTTAACACTCGACCGATGCCTAACCTCAATATTGCTAGCCTTTTCATGTCCTTCACTCTCAATGGCTATGTCTCACAACCATAGAGGAGGATGGAGTGGACTGTTGAGCAGTACGCAAGCCGATTAAGCCAAAGTCGAATGACTCTTGTATTTTAACTTCGTGACCAGTGGGATACAGTAGGTTGGGTGTGAGGACAAATACTCGCCAGTCGTGCTATACCGTTTAATTGGCAGAAGTTGGAATTCATAGGCCTGTCATTCAACCGGCTCCCAGTGACTTAATGGTCTACGAGGTCGTCTTATAACCGGAAGGTCTTGGGTTCGAAACCTGGCGATTGATGCATACTGATGAAGACTTCCAAACTAGTGGAATGAAACAGTTGTCCAGTACTTCTTGTTGGTTTTCAAATGGTTCTCTAACCGATGTCAGATCATGATAGCTTACATTCACCGCTTAGTCATTCTCAGACCCCTTAGAAATAATCAGCAGGAATTCCAGTGATTTGAACTTATTTAAGTACACTGTTGATAAGACTGAAGAAATTTATCGTTCTAGATCAGCTCAATGTGCCTAATGAGCATTACTGCCTAGAATTAGTAGTTTCTAATTACTGATTTTAATCAATATATATTATGTAACGGGCATAAAATGGACTCACACAAAATACATGGAGGATCTGGACTTAGCCAATGATATATGTCTGATTTCCCACAAACTGGAAGTTATGCAAGCGAAAAGCAACAAGTTGGCAGAACAGGCATCAAAGATAGGACTTCAGGTGAACAAAGATAAAACAGAGGTGATGAAGATTCCTGGGTAACGCCACCAACAGCAACAACAACAACAGAAAACAATCAACGTTAATAGAAGGAACCTGAAAGGAACAACCTCTTTCACCTACCTAGGAAGCATCGTTTCAACTACAGGCGGAACTGACGAGGATATCAAAGCAAGAATCGGAAAAGCAAGACAAGCTTTCACTACTCTCAAGTCTGTGTGGAGGTCAACCGCACTCAGCATCAAAAATTAGATCCGGATTTTCAACTCGAATGTGAAGTCAGTCAGTGCTACTTACTATACGGATCAGAGACTTGGTGCGTCATAAAGAGCGCCTCAAACAAACTACAGACCTTCATCAACAGCTGTCTTCGCTCAATACTCAAGATCAGATGGCTGGCCAGAAAAGATCAGCAACAGAGATCTCTGGCAATGAGCGAACCAACACAGCAGGAACCGATTGTGGAACAAGTAAGCAGGAAGAAATGGAGATGGATTAACCATACTCCGAGGAAACAATGCATCAAGTGACATCACTAGACAAGCCATTGCTCGAGTGGAACACGAAAGGGAGGCGTCGAGTTGGTCGTCAGTGTGAGGGTGACTTTGAGGAGGTCATGTGAAGAGGAGATGAAGGCGTGTGGGCAGACTTGGAGCCAGGTGAAGACTGTAGCAGAGAACCGAACGCAATGGAGACGCACGGCTGAAGCCCTATGTTCCTCTAGGAATTAAAGGAAACAATAATAATATAATATATTATTAATAATAACTCTTCTATCTTTTATGTGTCCATTGATTGTTTTATTTCGAAATTTTGTGTTTGTTTAAATGTGCTAATTCTATATCTCTCTCAATATGTCTCCTAATCTACTACATGTTCCTTTTACCTTTTCTTTTTACTAGCGAACAGAATATTAGTGGTACTGTTAAATGTTCAACAGTATTTCGTAATAGCCTGTCAACTGATTTAAGTCTACATTTTTGGTTATCAATAGATGATCAGTCAACAGTTGAAGAGACCGCAAAATCGTCGACTAGTAAATTTCAGCAAATCAACAATCAAAAACGATATTGTCTATTTCGTTTATTATGTACAAATGGTAGTGGATTAGAAATATTTTTTACAAAATATGGTTATTTAGTAATTGGTGTAGCAACACAAGAAGATTTCACTTATGTCGTGGTAAGTTTAACTATACGTTAGATTTATTATTTTATTTAATTTAAGATTTTCCCGTCGATTGATTCGACCGAAGTGCTCGGTCTCAGGTTGACATGTCGGCTTCTTGTGCAGATGCTTCGATGATGTCTGGGCACTGGGTTCGAGCCTCGGTAGGAACATCATCACTCACTGCGGAATGCAGGCACATCCGGATGACGAGTCCCAAATAGGACGAAATGCGCATCCTGGATTCCACTGCTAGTCACCATCCAACAATTAACTTCTAATGCGTTAGATTTATTTTTAAAGATTGAAACTAAAAATGAGATTTCATACATTTATTCCCCTTAGTGAATTTGAATAAAGCAAGAACAACAGTTTTTGCAGAATAAAGTGGTACCGTCATTTATTTCGTTGGCTTCTCATCAGCTGCTTACAGGCCAAAGTCATTATTAAGTATATCTACAGAAACAATTTTAACATACTTGCACAGAGTTCATTTTTAAACAAAAATCAATCAATCAGTATATGCATACAATAATAATATATATAATAATAAACACTTTATCCCGAACAATAATGATCATACACAATGGAAACTTTCGACATTACGTAATCAGATGAAAGAGAGGTGAAAATATCCAGTTACCAGATTGGGCAATGAAAGACTGATAACCGCTTCTTTCTGAACTCATAAATCGGGTTTCAGGCGCTTGATGGAGATGGCTTCAGCAAACTTGAGGAGAATTGAACTCTTTTGCCTATTGATAATTTCGAACGATCTTGTGACGTCCACCTCTTCCTCATGACCCGTGTCAAGGAGATGCCTGGCTATGGCACTGTTGAAAGCCTTTGTTCCCTTTAGACATAGACTTTTGGTACATGTTAAGAAAATCGTAGGTATGACCTTCTTTCTGTTCTTCCGAATGTAACTGCTCCCGCAGATACATCTAAATTTGTATGTGTAGTTGGAGTTAACATGAGAAGGATATCTATCGATTTTTGATTGCACCAAAGAGCAAGTTGTTCGATAGACGGGAACCAGCTTAGCTGCGCATATTGATTGATTGGTTTTGTTTAAAAATGAACTCTCTGTTCAAGTACGTTAAAATTGTTTCTGTAGATATACTTAATAACGACTTTGGCCTATAAGCAACTGATGAGAACCCAACGAAATAAACAATGCTAATGATATCATTTTATTCTGCAAAAATTGCTTTTTTTATTCCTTCACGTTCCCCAGTGGAACATAGGGTTTGAAGTTTCTGTAGCATTTTGTATTTTTACAGGATGGGGTTGCTAGCCTCATGCCCAACCTTTCCTCTTCACCAGCATTATTTCTGGCTTAGCGAGGTAAAGGAGTGCGTCGGCCGGGGATCGAACCGCAGACCATGTGCATGGTCAGCGAGCGTCCTAACCGCTATACCACCGACGCACCGCGAAAACTGCTGCTTTTGCTTTATTCAAATTAAAAATGAGGTGTCTAGTATTCCTGCTTCTGTTTTGCTTGAATTTATGGAACTCGCGAAATATACCCATTAGTTTGTAAGGAAAAACGCAGTTTTTTAGTTCAACGAAGAAGTACTGTTTCTTTTCAACGACTTCATTTTCAAGCTAACTGTACAGTCGTATTTATATTACGGAAAAAGGGAATTAAGTGGCAGCGGAAATTGCTCAGTCAACACTGCACATATGATGATAAGAATAAAGATAATTAAAATGATGTACTAAGGGGGTCGCGGTAGATTTGAAGTGGATGAATTACAAAACTTTTAAAGGTTATTAAATAAGTGAACTGGTATAAAGATTTTAAAGTAGTAGGTCAAAGTGTTATCTAAAAAAATTAACAGTACGATAATGATAACAGCAAAGACGGCGAAGATGAAGTGAAGTAGAATGAATTCAAGTGGTAAAATAGAGCATTACTATGATCAAGGTAGAGGAAAGGGGTTTAACAAAACATTTTTGAATACATAATTTAGGTTGCTGTCCATGTATAGCTAGAGCTTTGGCCATTCATAAATGGCAACAACGGAAGCTTTTAGAGTGGTTGAATTTGGTCGTGTAAATAACTTTAAAGGATAAATCACTTGGGGCTGAATGACCTGACTTCAGAATGTGTTCAAAAATTGAAGACTTCGTCATCCACTGGAACTCGATCCAGATGAAGAGTCCCAAACTAGGGCGAAACAGATCTCCAGTACTCCCAGGTTTTCTAGTGGTTCTTTAACTGATGTGTATCTATGATGAAATCCTTCAACCAATCAAACAAAATCCCTACAAAAACCAATACTTGAAAATCTCAGTTAAACTTTATGTATTTATAGTGAGTTTCCATTGTCTATCATTTCATTAAAGCTGACGCAATAATCAGTTGCGTAAATGGAGGCTAGCTAACATATTCAACTTGTTCATTATTTGTTTTGGTTTCAATATAATTGTATGATAATTTTCATTTTTGCCATAATTTTATAGACCTGTGGACCAGAGAAAATACCACCAGGTGCATGGCATTCTGTTGCTGTTGTCTTTTGTCATTCTCGACGTCTATTGGTTACACGAACTATACTCAAAGTTCTTGTTGACGGTAATGTATGCTATTCTGGAGATTTTCCACATCCTCGACTTGGTGGTGTAAGTGTTTTGAAAGATATTGGTCTGGTTATTCAGTAACTTTTTACTAATTTCATTATAATATATATGTATATATATAATAGTATAATATAGTATTATATATATATATATATATATATAGGAGTAGGGATTGTACATACTTCATTTGTACACAAAGGTCTGGTTTAAATTCATGAATGGCCAAGGCCTCCGCGGTCTTTCGGAGTTTATAACAAAGAAAATGTGGCCGTAAAGTTAGCATGAATTCGATAGATGATTTTTAAATCATGGTCAGGGTTGGTAGAGTGACAGGAGTCGATAAGTTTTCTAGAATAGAGCTTCTTACACCCTTTCTTTCTGTCTTGTAAACAAGTGCTGGAATATGTTCAGTGAAAGCGTTCACTGGCTACGGCCAATGTACCTTGCTCCAGGTAAACTGATAGGTGCACATGGAGTCGGCCAGACGAGAGAGTTTATCTTTTACAGAGATGGAAAACAGCTTACGGCTGGTGAACGTCATTTGTAATTTTGCAACAAAGAGCATCTCACCGAATGATTTAAAAAAACTATTTTCGAGAATATATGAAGCCCTATCACCTTGGAATTCCAAATTCATGAACATAGTTTTCTTTGAAACTGAGTCGGTGACCAATTTGGATTGCTTGTCTTTCGTGTTTTTGTCAATAATTAGGTTCGGATAACCGTTTTCTATGAGTGTGGCTTTTGGGAAGGAAAGTTCTGAGTCAACGTAGTCAGAACTACGAATGTTCCTTATCCTTAGGCAGAGTGAGTGCAACGACAGAAGACAAGGGCCAAGCAACAGATATTTATAGACTCTAACGTACATTACTGTCAGTGGAGAAGCAACGTCTTCTGATTAATTATTTTCTAGGCTGAAGGTTATTCTGTGCTGCTTGTGACCGTTTCTTAGAAAGTTAAGCCATATATATCTGCGAATCGTATTTGCACACGCTAAGTCTGCTGTGATTGGTTAGTGAGTTCCTCAAGGTTAAGAAGATGAGAAAAAAGTTAGAGTCCATCACGAACTGACATCACCTAGAAAATACTGGAACTTTTCAGCAGTTTTTTTCTCATGATCTCTTGATCCAATCGGAAACCGAAACCAAGACCTAAGAATTACTAAGTAAGCACATTGTCTTTCAGCCCAGTTGGATTATGAGTGCATGAAGGTGAAGAGGTTTAAAGTGGGAGAAAATAACTGTTCTGTACTCGCTGGTTTCAGTTGTCGGTTAGTGATCTATTCTCATTTTAAAAGAATCACTCAAATCCTAACAAATCAACATTTGAAAAAGAGACAAACAGGTTGGATGGTTATAAAACCGATAGAATTAATAAAGACGTTAATATTTACGCTGAATGGAGGAAATAACAGTGTGTTGCGTGCTACTGATGAGACTTATCGGAAGTGCATATATAAAGAAATATTCGTCGGCATAAAAGCATCAAATAGCCGGGAGATAGATTTGACGTCAGAGAAAGCAAATGATTCAGCGTTGTGGAGAAACATGGGAGACGTGAAAGGAACACACAAAGAAACACACACACAATATGAAGGCGACAAGTAGCCCAACACGGAAGATCTGTGCAAATGGTGATATGAAAATATAAGGTGTGCATAATTTTGCTGTACAGAGATAACACATTGCAAATAAACATTCCTTTGAAGATAGAAAGAATGAACATGTTTGCAGGATAATACGAGCTCGTTTTATTTCGTGGATACTCATCAACTGCATACATCCTAAACAAAATCAAATTATAAGTTTCAAAAAAGTTTTGGAACATACTTTTTTTCATAATTACTTGGAGTTATAGATAGAAGGTATAAGGAACATAATTCCAGAATTTGATGTGGGTAGAAAGATCATTCAGTGTCAAAAAACAAAAAACTATATATAGTGGAATTAGATAAGAGGGGTTAGAGTTCAGATTTCTATTGGAAAACGCAGATTGGTTAGAGGCATGATACAGGGTCAGGATCAGAGAACAGAGTGAATTTACACATCTTGTGGTGGAGAGTTTAAGAGGGTGGGGGTGAATAGTGAAGTAACATTTTTTAAACTTAAACAGACAATTAAGTGGATTTAGAAACTTGATAGTCAGTTCAACTTAGCAAGTGAAAGTCAAAACTGAATAGAATGTTTCGTAACAAGACAAACACACAGGCATACTGACAAAAAGGCAAAACAAAAATAAAATAAAATAGAATTAGGGTTACCAGGGTAGCGAAAGATTAGTCACACTATCTTTCTGTATACAGAGGTCTGGTCGAAGTTTCTTGATAGCAATGGCTTCTGCGAAGCGAAGTAGCCATGGGTTTCTTTGCGTATTGATTATTTTGAAGGCTTGGCTAATTTCTACTGTGTGTCCTGTGTCAATTAAATGTCTGGCGATTGCACTCGATAACACTTTTCTTCTTTTTGTCTGGAGACTCTTAGGAATGTGCTCAGAAAATCTAGTAGATGCTCTCCTCTCAGTCCTTCCTATGTACTTTCTTCCGCAAGTGCAAGTGAATTGGTAAATGCAGTTGGAGTTGACGTGAGCAGGGTACTCATCTACTTTTGACTGGGTTAACGAGCACACAGTGTTGTGAAATAGGATCAGTCTGGCGGCTGGGAAACTTTTTTTTAATGCACCTGTGATTCTTTTTTGTGTTCTTGTGGATACGTCTTCCCCTTTGTACGCTAGACAGATGAAAACTGGTTTCTTTTCAACGGTGTCAGGTTTCGGTTTGTGTGCTTCTTCATTTCTATACTTTAATATGAACTCTCGGGGATATCCATTCTCGATAAGGTTCTTTTCGATGACCGCTAGTTCTTCTTCAATCTTGTCTTCCGAACATATTTCTTTGGCTCTGCTGAAGAGCGTTTTTACTAGACCTCGTTTGTAACTGGTTGGGCAAAAGCTGTGATAATTTAAGTATTGACCAGTCCAAGTTTCTTTCCTGTAGACAGATTTTTGAATTGTCCCATCGTTTCTTCTTTTTATGTTGACATCTAGGAAATGGAACTGGTTGTTTCTTTCGTAGTCAATTGTAAATGCAATGTTAGGATGAGCCGTATTGAGTTTCTCAAACATTGCGGACGCGTGTTCTATATCACTGCAGACCACAAACGTGTCGTCGACATATCTGCAGTAATAGGTGGTTCTTTCTATTTCTTCTTTCATTCGAGTCTGTTCAAGATGAGCCATGAATATGTCAGCAAGAATAGGACCCAGAGGTGAACCCATAGCCACCCCGTTCATGTTCCAAAACTTTTTTGAAACTTATAATTTGATTTTGTTTAGGATGTATGCAGTTGATGAGTATCCACGAAATAAAACGAGCTCGTATTATCCTGCAAACATGTTCGTTCTTTCTCTCTTCAAACTAATAAAGGGAACCGGTTGTATGAAACATTCCTTTACCACGTCTCTCGTCTTCTATCGTAACAACAGTTCTAGTCACACATACAGTGGAGATTTGAATTGTCGAGGGAACACTAGTTCCCTAAAGGTAGCGAACCTACCTCACTGATGAATGTAGGGAAGCAGGAAGGGCATTTTTTTTTCTTTTTTTAAAAAGCCTTCAGTTTTCCTAATATTACGATAATTTCTTCTTTTTCTTATTTTCATTCTGTTTGAAATATATGTGTAGGATATCTCAATCCTACACATCGGTGGTTGTCCAAATTGGATCGATCATGTTGTCTACTCAAAATTATTATTTGATTTAGCCTCAAAAGCTGGCCGTCGTAAATCAGTAATATCCAATTTGAAAAGTGTCGGGAAACATAATTATGTATCTAGAGAAGTTGTCTCTGTATCAGCGACAACATCAACTCTATCCGGAAAATTTACGTCCTCTTCTAGTTCTTCTTCTTCTTCTGGATTAAGTGTCCTTTTTTCAGAGAAAGTTGAAATTGGCACCCCGCGTAAAGTGGATTTAGGCAGTGAACGTATCCTATGGGGGATAATGAATTCATTTCAAGGGAGAATTATTTCTTGTGCAATGTTTAATGAAGCTTTATCAGATACTACTTGGCAAACGATTACATCACTTGGTAAGCTGTTTTTTAAAGCAATTAGTTCCCTTTATGAATTTCGACAACACAATAAGAAGACGTAGTTTATCTGAAACGTGTAATGTATTGGCGCAATGTATTGTTAGCTGATATATATATATATGTCGCATGTCGAGAACCTAGTGGATCCATATTAGTTTGTTTATTAGATATATCACACAGTGAAACAGTATTATTTACTGGATGACTATGTTTCGAACAAAATTTATTGTTCATAATCATATCAATTGTGATCACACGACTTTGACACTTGAGTTTTATAGTTTTCTTTGTTCTCTCCTATTTGTCGTATGGGTAGTATAATTTTCCAGATATCGGGGACATGTGATGAATCATTCCTATTACATGTATTTGTAGTTGATTCGATAAACAAAGCTTCTGTTATCAATCTCTCCCTCTACCCTGTGACATTACATTTTAAAACTGTCATCTTATCCGATCCATCCTATTGTATGGTTGTGTGTGACTGCATGTAGTGAGTGGTATAGCTGAACTATTCTCTAGATTTCTTATTTTATTCGGGTCAACCAATCTAGATTTTGCTAGGTTTTTATGTCCAGCTAGTCTGACTGCCCCTGTTCTACTAGCTTGACCCATGTATTTGACCTGACAATCATTGCAGGGTATGAGATAAACTAAATTGTTTTGTTTTAAAGGCTCTACGGGATCCTTTAGCCGACAAAGCTTGTTTCTAATTGAGTTTGTGGGTTTGAATACCGTTTTTATTCCTGCCTTGTTAAGAATCCTCCGGCGTAAGGCTTCCGACGTTCCTTCCTTGAATGCAATTACTACTGATGATTTAGATTCCTTATTATTGGTGTCGTCATTACGCAGAATTCTTAATAAGGCAGGAATAAAAGTGACTGGCATTCAAACCCACAAACTCAATTAGAAAGAAACTTTGTCGGTTAGACGATCCTATAGAAACTTTAAAACAAAACAATTTAGTTTATCTCATACCCTGCAATGATTGTCAGGTCAAATACATGGGTCAAGCTAGTAGAACAGGGGCAGTCAGACTAGCTGGACATAAAAACCTAGCAAAATCTAGATTGGTTGACCCGAATAAAATAAGAAATCTAGAGAATAGTTCAGCTATACCACTCACTACATGCAGTCACACACAACCATACAATAGGATGGATCGGATAAGATGACAGTTTTAAAATGTAATGTCACAGGGTAGAGGGAGAGATTGATAACAGAAGCTTTGTTTATCGAATCAACTACAAATACATGTAATAGGAATGATTCATCACATGTCCCCGATATCTGGAAAATTATACTACCCATACGACAAATAGGAGAGAACAAAGAAAACTATAAAACTCAAGTGTCAAAGTCGTGTGATCACAATTGATATGATTATGAACAATAAATTTTGTTCGAAACATAGTCATCCAGTAAATAATACTGTTTCACTGTGTGATATATCTAATAAACAAACTAATATGGAATTACTTACTACCACAGTGCCCAAGTTTTACACGTATATTAAGAGATCCTAGTGGATAAAGATATTGGAAAAGTTTATTTTTATAAAAGATTTGTAGATGACATAATAGTCATTTGTCATAAACCGACAAACGCCGTAGAAATCCTGAACCGGATCAATAAAGCACAAAACAGTATATCACTAACATACGTTAAAGAGAATAATGGATGCCTGCCATTTTTAGATGTACTAATAACCCACCGAGAAGATGGGTCAGTAAAACGATCTGTCTACAGAAAGTCCACATGGACGGGACAGTACCTAAATTATCATAGTTTCTGTCCACTACAGTATAAAAAGGTGTTGGTTAAATGTTTGTTCAAGCGCATTCACCGTATATGTACTGCCGATACAATTGAAGAAGAAAGACAACACCTCACTGAAATATTGTTAGATAACAATTACCCACTGAGATTTATTAGACGTTACGGAAGTGTCAACCATAGAGCTTTACCAATCCAATCAGCTCCCAAAAAGGATGTTTACATATCCTTACCGTTCAGAGGTGATCAACAAAGTCTAGTCACTAGACAAAGACTAAAGGCCGCAATTAATAGAACTTATTATGCAGCTAAACTTATCTTCATAGAGAAAACGAGAACTATGCTGTTCTGTAAACCCTCACATTGTCCGAACGATAGTGTCACATCCCACTGTGTTTATCAATTTACATGTATGTGTGGAGACACGTACATAGGGAGGACCCATCGGTCTCTGCAGGTTAGGGCTACAGAACACATTCCAAAGTGGCTGCAACAACAAATAAAATCGCCAGACACAACTGAACCCGGAAATAGATGTCCAACATCATCTATAGCCAAGCATATTATAGAGACGGGTCATAAGGTTGATTTCAACAATGCCTTTAAGCCGATATATAAAACAAGGTTGGGTCACATACTTAAATTCATTGAAGCCTTAGCCATAAAAAGACTTAAACCTGTCTTATGTGTCCAAAAATTACTTGTTATCACCTTAAACCTGCCTTGGTAATCCAATTTAGAACCAAGGACCAATTTACTTCATAATATTTTCAACCCCTTCTTTGCTTTGTTTTTTTCTCCTTTTATCTTTCTTACCCACACCTTTTGTGTCTCCCTACCCATTATTTGTGACCTTGACCTGTATACAATCTGACCTGTATTGTAATTATTCATGCCTTCTTGCCTTCTATAAAAACTGTGTATGACAAGTACGTGTGTGATCAGAATGTCCGAAATGTGTTGCGCCAATACATCACACGTTTCAGATAAACTACGTCTTCTTATTGTGTTGTCGAAGTTTTTTTAATTTTAGCTTATTTGTTTTGTAAATGATTCATTTTCATTAAGTTATGATTGTAATTTGGAGAGAAATCTTGTTTCAAGTATTGGTTTTTTTCGGGGGTAGGGGGATTTTTGTTTGTTTGATTGGTTGGTTGGAGGATTTTATCATGAGCTGACATCAGTTACAGAACCAATGGAAAACCTGGGAGTACTGGACAGCTGTTTCTTCCTAGTTTGGGACTCTTCATCAGCATGAACCCATCGCCAGGGTTCGAAACCCCGACCTTCTGTTTACAAGGCGAGCTTTCAGGCCTTTAAGTCAATGAGACCCGATCCAGTGGCCAGTGCACGAATTCCAACTTCTGCCAATTTACGACAAAGCCCGACCAATAGCCTCGCCGAAGATATCGGCTGAAGTTGGAATTCATGGACCATTGGATCGGGTCCCCAGTGGATTTATATTTTACTGGCAGTAATGTATTAGGTGTAGACACGATGACCAAAGATTCCAATATAGAAAAAATCCCCATTTAGACATTTAGAAAACAGAAAGATTGAGCGAAGAAATATTTACTTTTCAATTAGATCCTCATCTCTGGCTCTACTCTAATATATAACATTTTTATTACAATACACAACAGTTTACCAAACAAGTGGCGATATGTTTGTTAACAATAATTAAACAGTGTCAAAATTTCAATGGGTTGATAATTAACGAAGAAAATCAATACACATTTAAAAGGTAGAAATGGATAGAATAAATTAATTTTACAAGGATAACACGTAATTAAAGATGAAGTGGTCAAAATAAATAAAAATAAAATAATTTGGACAATTATAATTTTTATAGTTTTTAAAAGTTTAGGGGGAGGGGGTGACGTAGTCCTGTTTATGCATTCTTCTAGAGATGGCCACGGTAAGGAAAGTGGCTGTACAAATTTCTTCTGAACACATAGGCTTGGCTTCTTCAGGTGGATTCCGATTGCTTCAGCTATCTGTAGAAGACGAACTCGTAGAGCAAAATTAAGATTAGTCGGAATGCGATAAATAATTTTAAATGCAGTATTAACATCAACCTTATGCTCAGTATCAACAAGGTGTGCTAAAATAGAACTACGAATAGATTTTGTTTGTCCCTTGCTTAACCATGCTGGATGATGTTCGGAAATACGACGATGAACCTGCCTAATTGTACGCCCAATGTAGCTGGCTCCGCAGCTGTAGTCAAACTGGTAGATACACTGGTACACCAAAGATTCAGCAACCAGTCTCACCCTCCATCTATTTATACTACTTTTTGGAACTATAGCTGTGTTCCACACTACATTTTGCGATTGTGTGTTAGTGCATGCATTGTCAGTGTTAAGTTTTTCTCTGAACTATTCATCTTCATGGGGTCAGTAATCCTTCAGTTTGTTATATCTTTATATTCCGATATTATAAATGGTGCCGATCATACTGGAATGACCTATGTCGTTGACTTCACAGTCATTGGATGGTATTTTGTCGAGTAAATTACTTTGTCGTTGACTTAGAATATGCGAACGGTATAGTCCTTCTAGGCGAAGACGCTGGCAAATTGCAGAGTATTCTGAGCACCTTGCCATGGAATGCGCTCCTGCCAAATGTAACATGATGCTACAGGACTGGACTACTACATCGACTCTTAGCTTAAAGATAAGGAGTGAAGTGGTTGGTGGGGTGTATTAACCACTCCACTTACTTAAGAATTTGTATCAGCCCCAAAGGGTTGGTCGCTGACAAAATCTCAGTATGACAATTACCAACTTACTCCAGCTGTCTATCTATCAAAGCACGTGTATACTGCTCAGCATGTTTCTCTGACATAGGGTTAGGTTGAAAAAGAGCAAGTCATGGTCAAACCAAAACATGGCATCAGTCAATGTACTCCGTAACAGTTAATTTAAGCCAAACAGCCATGTGGGAAGGTGTAGACTCTACTGTCCGGTTGGAGTCCTCGGGATGGTAAGAACCAGTGGTCAGAGACAATTGGTGCTTTGCCTGAAAATGGTTGGTAGTGGCTGACGCAGGTGTATTCGTTCTTTTTGATTTGACATATCCAGTAATCAGCGTTGACCGCGAAGTAATTTGCAAACTACTCGAGTACTACGGCCTACCCAAAATATTCATCAACCTTATTCAACAGCTGTACGACAAGAGCACATGTCAAGTGATCCACAATGGAAAACTCAGTGAGG